CTTTCTGAAGATTAAGAGAGTCTCTCGGCGTCAAAGCTGTGCGTCAGTTGGTGACCATCACCAACAATCCCCGCAAGATAGATCAAAACCAAACGCTGCTGGTTAACAGCACATTGACTTCCAACATTGGCAAACGCGAGCTTGTGCGGAACGTCGGTCGTGCCATCATCAAGAAAACCACAATCAAAATCAGCGGCAACGAGGTGTTGAGTATAGACGACAGCGACGTGTTTTACTGTTACATGGATCTCTGGAAAAGCAAGAGCGAACGCGATAACAACATGTATCAAGGCATCTGTTCCCAGAACTGTAAATCGACTAGGTTGCGCTTGGGGTACGGTTTCGCACAAGATCAGCTCGACAAGATCCCGGCGTCCGAACGAGCCATCGCTGAAGCGTATGGGAACCGGTTTTGCGTGCTGCTCGACTTTGAGTTGCTCACGGGACACGCGCTGTTTTACCAGGCCGCTTTGGGCGATCGGTTGGAATAAGAACGGTGAAACGGTGATGAGGCCAGTTACGCCATCGACAACATCTCTCTGGAGTTTGACATGGTCACGAGTCCGGAGCTGGCCCGGCAGATTCGAAACCAGTACTCGGGGAAGCTGTCCATCCTGTACGACCGAGTCCTGCGGCACCAGACGGTCGTACGGGACAAGAGCGACAGGTTGTGGAACATCAACTTGAACGTGCCGGCACGATCGATGAAAGGCATCTTGATCGTTCCCGTGGAGGAATACGTACCATTCGAAAGGGACAGCGAAAAGTTTTTCAACCCTGAAATCACGAAAGTGACCATTGAGGGCATGCCCAACCAACTGTTCAGTCAAGGCATGAGGGCATACCAGCAATGGGACGAGATAACAAAGCTATCAAACAACACCCACCGGAAGTCAATAATGTCGCCAAAGAACTGGATCTATCCTCCGTGCAGATCGGGGAATACCTGACCACCAAGTATGTGTTGTGGTTGGACATCCGATCCACTGATGGCGACAGGCTACACGGCAGCGGACGCCGCGTCGACAATGGTAGTGAGGGGATAACCATCCAAATCACCAAGAAAGCTCAAACTGCAGGCAAATTGAAATGATATTTGTACGTGATTATGGACGCACAACTTAATATAGACAATGGAAGATTCGTGCAAGCAATTTATTGATTTACCTCGCGATCCGCACTGCGCTATCGTGTGCGGTCAGACGGGCTGTGGGAAGACCGTTTTCATGCTGAATATGCTGGAGGGATACTACAGGGACGTGTTCGATAACATCATTATCATGTGCCCTACTCTGCACATCAACAAAACATACATGGAAAGATCTTGGGTGATGACGGACCCGGACGTGCACAAAGTCGACCCGTGAACTTCTCTGCAGGATTGGTTGAAAGCTTTGTGGTTGATTTTGATTTTGAGGTTGCACGCGCTGTGGGCTGCACCTCTGTACTCACCGGTGATGTGACAGTGATCTGTCACCAAATCACCGTTCAGTGGTTCGTCGCAAACGTGACACACGTGGCTGCTGTCGTGAGCTTGCTGCCCGGCTTGGGTTATGTGCATTGGAGCGGTGGTGTACTTTTTCCTGATGATTTTTTCTTCCTGCTGCAAACACATTAGAAATTCTTTGAGTTTGCTGGTGATTATAGGTTTGATGTCGGTGACGGGTATAATTTTGGCTACTTTCATCCGCCAGCTGCTCAGATAATCTTTCGAGGTTCTAGTAGATCACATGAATTGTAGATCGGTCATTGTTATACTTAGGTCTGAAGTCAATCTCTAATTAGGCCTCCAGTTATGTAAGGGAGGTAACTCCGTCAGCCTTATCTGCCAGGCCAAAAAAATTAAGCCTTTTTAAATTTTCATTCTGAGGAGGCGCTTACGTTCGTTCAAATAATCTGTTTTCTTCTCGTAAATAAGTTGGCTTCGGACCACGTTCGCCCCATTAGCTTTACATAAACAGTAATGACATTTCACTCCAATACCACATACAGAGCATGTGTAGTTCACGAAAGCATTTCTGATACTCTTCATGTGTATACAGCAGTACCCCTCGGTCCTGCATTTCCTACCGCAAGTCTCGGTTTTTCCCATAAGCATGTATTGACAACGATACGGAGCGGGTCTCATCTTTGTTATACTCATATGAATATCTAGTCTAATTTTTCACAGTTAACATGGTCGCTGCCAGGCCCAGTGCGACGAAGATCAGTTCTCGATTTTTTTGTTCCAGGGGAGGCGCGTAATACTGAGAGAGTGTGGGTTCATCACCGAGAGGTTCGAGCTGTTTAATATTCTTTCGCGGAGTCATCGACGTCTTTGAACGTTCGAATGGCATGGTTTTCACGCTCGAGTTGATCATGAATGAAATCGAGCCTCTGCATGCGTTTCTTCGCATACTCGGCTTGCGCGGCTTGTATTTTCTCCACAGCTATATAATGGCGTTTTCGTTCCGCTTCTACCTCGGGCGCCTTCGACTCTCGTAATGGCAAGAAAAGGTAATTGCTCTCAGAAAATGGCAGGGCGTTGACTAAAGCCCCGCCGACCATCGTAGCCATTCTATATATGTTTATTTTACTTTAAAATATTTTCCAGTATGATTGCTTGTTTTATGAGGACGTCCTTGGAGGCCATTGCCATACCTAGATTCATGATGAGCATGGCCATATCCTGCAGGTCGAAATCGAGTTTGATCGTCTGTTGTTTGAGAACCATTTTGGTTAAACGAGCGTACCCTACAGCTAGGCCAGGGACCATGGTTACATTGTATGCATCGTTAAGGAACGTTTTTCCTTCAGACATTATCTAAATAATATATATTTTTATAATTATAACATGATATGGCGTTTGACCTCTAATTGTGGTTGCTGTGTGGGTTTTGGTGCTGGTTGTGGTTTATTATATAACATAAATAATGTTGTCACGGCAGCAGCAACAGAGTATAATTTTTTTCGTGGTGCTTAGCTAAGCCACCTTTTCTACCGGCGGCGACTCTTTTAGGATTCTTCTTCTTGGAGACTTGTGTCGCTGTTTCCTCCCCTTGCTCGTGTGTTGGAGTCGGAGTCTATTCTTGCTGGGCAGTTTCCATCTTGCATACTATTATTATTATTTTTTCCCTCTTTAAATTGACAATTCTTTGCCGTGATGATCGCTGCCGTCACCGGAGCTAAAAACATGCCGTATTTGTGTAGTAGCGGATATGGGTGAATGTTGGTGGGTGGGTGGAGCGCACACAACACAACGCTACTCGTGGTCACAGATGACAGCTATTTTATTTATCCATTCAGAGGAATGTTTGAAATAATTGTGAAAATATACATAAATATAACATAAAGTATTTGAACATAAAGGTATAACATGGCTTACATATACATGTATTACACTTTCTATATAGTCTTAGAATACAGCTAGCCCAGACAAAACACGTACTAGCATAAATACATCTTTAAATATAAATAGCAACATGAAAACTATTCATACATACATATATCATTTATGACATTCAATGAATATATTACAAATATACATGAAGAAAATATATAGAGTTTATTACATACAAGATCATAAAATACACTTACCACTGTGTGGCAATGAGTGTAAACAAGCTCTCATGCAGTCAAGGATCATCAATCGTCACGGAGTATTCTAAGAAAAGTTAAAATACCACCTTGATAATACTAATAATGGTATATAAAATAAGTTATAATAAAAGCAACAAATCTCACATCCACCCTCACTATTTCATACCACATTCATATGATCATACATTTACACAATATGTTAAGTCATAATTTAGTTTTAATTAGGCTTATACTGGTATTTACCTACCGCATACGCCATGTTTAATGTGTAATAGGCGCCCTCTAGTAGGCAACCCAGTGACATGAGTTCAATGTAGAATGTACCTCGGTGTTTCCCTGTTCATAGTTTTATTATAGACTTTGCGTTGTGTACTTTTATTAAATGATGGAAAGCTTTAAAAAACAGCAGAACAGTGTACAGTCTCCTTCGGTTCAGTGGCAGTTGTCAACTCTTGCAGCAAAATATGACACAAGGCAGAGATGTAGATAATACTAATTTATTCTGTTAAATAAAAATAAGGAAAACAAGCAAAACAAATGATAACAAAAACTGAACAAAATATCTCTCTTTCACTCGCTAAAAGAAACCTATTCCCTACACTAATTCCTAAGTTCTACATGACCTACTTAATTCCTAACACTAGTTTCTCCCCCAACCCACACTACCTACATATTAAACCCGAGAAAATAAACTATGTCATAATCTATGTTTTCTTACCTCACCCGACTACAGTATGAAACTACTTCAACAGTAAGAGTCTTAAAACCAACATAAACCAAACCTAACGAGCCGTAGGGAACATCCCCCGTACAGGCAGTGGACTTACTTGCTCGGAACACCGATACGCAAGACAACGATATCAGTCGCATCAGGCTCTTATATACCCCGTGAGCTAACCTCCGAAAGGTCAAGACGAAGTGTTATGATTGGCTACGCAACAGTAAACAACTTCACCGCGGCACTGCGCACCTTCAGCTTCCGCTCCCAACATGGCGGACAGCGAAGGGATACGACAGATACCCAGCTACCTTACATGACCGACGAAGGAAATTCCAACGGAATTTTACTGCCAAACGTGAGTAATAAGTAGAATAAATGACTACAAGATAACGACGTCAATACAGTACTTGCAAAATAGGCAGAAACGTAATTATAAGCCACCCAACCAATTTGTTTACATTAGCAAACCACATATATAAAAACCACCAAATCTGCCGATAAATAAATATAAATAACTCATAAAACTATAACACTATTCTATTCCACCCAACAACCCATTTCTAAAGTATAAATTATCCGAACTCCTACATTCCTCCCCCCTTAGATTAAAATTATTTTCCCAAAATTATTTTATTCCCAGGTTTCTGTACCCCCCCAAAAATAAAAAAATAAAACAACTTTTTCTTCAAGGGACTGTTGCTCATTCCCGTGGTGATGACATGGCTTCCATCAGTTTTATTTCCTCATCCTGACGTTCCTCCAGAGACCGGCGGCGTGATGGAAGGGAATGTCTTCGTTCCTTCTCCAGTTCCCTGAGGCGGATCCTTCCTGGTGACAACGGAGCTGGTGGAGGAGTAGAATCGCGATCGAAGTGTGTGACCTCGGCAGAAGATGCTGCGGAAGGACAGCCAGCAGGCGCAGTGGCACGAGGCAGCAGCACACGGCCTGGATTTACAAACTGCTCATTCCGGATCTGCACCTCCTCCATCCCGGCTTTCTTGTGACGTTTCAGGTGCCGGCGACAGGAAGACTTCTTCCTAAACAAGGCACCACAACCAGTGCACTTGCGCCGCCGGACCTGTTCTTTATGGACCTCTAGCCAGTGGTCCAGGCAGAAGGTCCCAATACTTCTTGTAGAATATCCCCGTTCCCAAACAGGCGAGGACTTGGCATTCCATTCCCATCTTCGGAAACACCCCTCGATCCTCCTCTAGCTCGTTCAACTCCTGTGGTGCTACAGTTAGATCTAATACATCCATTCTGAAAGCCAATTATAAAACGAAAACTGACTAAAAATGCAACTGAAGGCAAACAAAGAAATGAAGCAAAGTAAAATGCAAGCGAGAGGAAAAAAATTAAAATAAATAAATAAAAATGCCTTCCCTACGGTGATATTCCCCATGCCCTTTTGCCAAGACTCACTTATTGAAGAGTATTTCAATACAACCTGATATATCTAAAAAAACGCCGCTAAAACTTGCAAACCACACTTCTCTGGACTCATGGAGAATATGGACATCTTGGTTTCACAGCTCTACCCACTCTTGTCCTCACAGGAGACTTCTGCAATAGAAGAACTATCAACACAACTCCCCTCCTCCATTGAAAAAGGCTCAGAATCGTCCTCAGATTCTGATGCTACCTGATTTGACACCTCACAGCTGGTATCCACAGAACTATCTAACCAGTTGTGTGGTATAGGACTACACTGAAACGGCTTAAGATGATCTACGTGAACACTAATAACTGGAGCCCCAGCATTTTTCTGAACCTGGTAGGTAAGATCCGATATTTTACCAACAACGAGATATGGACCATCCCATCCCAAACCTAACTTTTGGTTTGCTTTCGGTGGATACCACCTCCATACAAACTCTCCAATCTCAAAGGATCTAACTTTCAAACTCTGATCATAATTTCATTTCTGAGTCGAAGCAGCAACTCCCAACTGATCTGAAGCAAACTGAAAGACCTGTTGCATAATTTCCTGTAACCATTTGACATATGCAACTGGACAATCTGGACCCTGTTCCCCTGATGGACTTTCCACCATGACATCAATGGGAACCCTAATCTCCCGTCCTAACATCATCAAGTTTGGAGAACAATGTGTGCTCTTATGTTCACTACAACGGTATGCCATGAGAAGATAAGGAAGATGATCATCCCAATCCAAAGGTTCTTGATGTACATAAATGGACAACATCTGCTTGAGTGTTCTATTAAATCTCTCCACCATACCATCCGACTGTGGTCGATAAGGAGTGGTTCTAGTCTTTTCTATTCCCAACAAACTACAGATTTCAGCAAACAAGTTGGACTCAAATTCTCTTCCCTGATCCGTATGCAACTGCAGTGGGCAACCAAAACGACAAAAGACTTCAGAAACCAATTTATCTGCAACAGTGGCTGCTGTATAGTTTGGAATTGCAAACGCCTCCTTCCACTTTGTGAAATAATCCCCAACCACCATGATATACTCATTTCCATGACGACTGATCGGTAGAGGACCGACAATATCAATTGCCAAACATTCCAAAGGTGAGCGCACTTTAAACTGCTTCAGGGGAGACTTTCCTTTTCCAGGACCCGACTTACACCTAGCGCAATATGAACAAGACTTGCACCAACGTTTAATGTCCTTAGACATGTTAGGCCAAAAAACCTGTACTTGATAGCTTTGAGTGTTTTGTCCCGTCCAAAGTGACCTGCTGACTTATTAGTATGTAGCTGTTGAAATATGCTATCACGCACAGTGGCAGGAGCAACTAATTGTAGTCGGGGACCAAAAAATCACACTCCTTTTTCCTGTACAAGAGCCCGTTTTGAACAACCAAATTATGCCATTGTCCCCAAAGATTTTTAGCATCAGCTGAATAATCCATTATCTCTCCTCTGGATGGTGAAACAGAGCTGTTTTTCAATAACTTCAAAATAGGTCCTATCCCTAAATCAGTTTCTTGTCCTTCCAAAAGTTCATCCCTAGTCCAGACTGGTAACCAGTTTGGAACGCTACAAGATGTATCAGCATGAGATGGCAGCAGGATAGACCCCTCTGACTCATCTGAAAACTGGTCCCTATCACTAACAGAAAGTGGAGCAACTCTGCTGGAAACAACAACTCTGGAAACGTCAACCTCATGGGAACCCTGTGTTTCGACACAATCGGAACATTCTTGAAACCCACATTTTCGGACTGGTCTACGAGACAAACCATCAGCATTGCCATGCTTAGTGCCTGCACGATATTGGATCTGGAAACTATATGTTTCAATGACGCTTAACCACCTCGCCAAAATTCCCTCTGGATCCTTAAAGTTCTTCAACCAGATAAGTTGAGCATGATCGGTTCGGACCAAGAACTGCCTACCATACAAGTAGTGTCGGAATGTTTTCAGAAACGTAACTACTGCTAGCAATTCCCTCTTTGTAGTGCAATAATTCCTTTGTGCTGGACCCAGAGTTTTACTGGCATATGCTAAGACTTTTTCTGTCCCGTCGTGCATTTGCGAGAGAACAGCTCCCATACCATATGCACTGGCATCTGTATCCAGGATAAATAAGCCTTCTTCCCTTGGAAATGACAAAACTGGCGCATCTATAAGACACTGTTTTAACCGGCTAAATGCTCTATCACACTCCTCTGTCCACAAGAAAGCAACACCTTTCCGAGTGAGCCGATTCAAAGGAAAAGCTATTTGGGAAAAACCTAATATGAAGTGCCTGTAGTACCCTACAAGTCCGAGAAAACTACGAACCTCAGTACGATTTCCAGGAATTGGCCAAGTTTTGATGGAGTTGATTTTATCAGGATTACATCTGATCCCTTCTTCTGACACGATGTGCCCCAGATAAGCTACCTCTGTTTGAAAGAGTGTACACTTTTTAGGTTTCAACTTCAGGTTTGCCTGTCGTAACTGTGTAAAAACCATCCTTAGATTTGCTAAGGCATCATTGAAATCTGACCCTTAAGATGATGACGTCATCGAGGTAACACAGGCATTTCTTCCACCGAAGTTTCCCAAGAACCTTGTCCATGAGCCTTTCAAATGTAGCTGGTGCATTAGTTAAACCAAACAGCATAACGTTGAACTGGTACAACCCTACATGCGTAGCAAATGCAGTTTTGTGTTTATCCCTAGGATCCATCTTTACTTGCCAATATCCGCTTGCCAAATCCAGAGTACTAAACCACTTAAGAACCCCTAAAGTCTCTAGAGTTTCATCAATACGAGGTAAAGGATATGTGTCCTTTGTACTTAGGGGATAACTGTACTGTGTTTGACGAATTGGGGACGTAAACCGGTGGTTATATAGCCGCAAATTTAGTTATAACGTTAAATTTGCGGCTATATATCCACCAGTATACTTCCCCAATTCTTCAAACAGAGTACAGTTATCCCCATTCTAATTCAACTCGTTTTACGCTGTTTTTTCGTGAAAGAAAATTCATTATTTAAACCAGGTCAAAGTTCCTCTAGGTCAAAGGTTAATCATATCACTCCTTGAACTTACACCATCGCCAGAAAAAGTAGTTTCCTTTTCAAACTACACACATTTATTATGTGCACACAGACTAAATCTGACTATGATGAATAGATCATAGTATTATATACTGAGTCAAAAAAGAAACTTCACATTCTTTCTTCAGGGCACTATAAAAGAACAAGAGATGGTAAGATGGTTAAATTGTTATTATTTCATTGCTGAGATCTGTGTGATGTACTCGATACACTGACAGTGCCATAATCAGTTCCATTAGGCTACACCGCCGTTCCAAAACATGGGTATACAGAATGTCAAGTCACAAGAATAAAAATGCAAAATTTCTCAGTTCAATATCGTATGGCCGCCCCGCGCATTCACCACTGCCAAACACCGTTTCCTAATCGACTGCCTGATGCTTGTGAACACGTGGTTGGGGATTCTGCGCCATTGCTCTTGCAAGGCAGCACCAAGTTCCTGCAAATTCTGAGGTTGGTTCCTAAGACCACGAAGCCTTCTCCCAAGTGCATCCCAAACGTGCTCTATTGGATTAAGGTCAGGGGACCTCGATGGCCAGTCCATGACGTTGATTCCAGCGTTTTGAAGGAAATTTCGTGTCAACATCGCGGTATGCGGCCGAGCAAGGAACGAGTTCAGGGGTGAGCACCTGGTCGCGGTAAGCAGCAGCTGTGAGGTTTCCACGGATGACCAGAAGTCGGGAACGGTTGTTCCCCCAGAAAGCACCCTACACCATGCAACTTCCGCCCCCAAATCTGTTGACTTCCTGTACACAACATTGGGCATACCGTTCACGACGTCGTCTCCAGACTCTGTGCCTGCCGTCCGCGAATCTGAGGGTAAACCTGGATTCATCGCTAAAGACGACTCGATTCCAGTCTCTCTGGGTCCATCGGAGGTGACGTTAGGCCCACAGCAGCCGTTGACATAGATGAAACGGCGTCAATATTGGCCCACGATATGGACGTCGAGAATGGAGATTGGCAGCCCGCAACCGATTTCGAATGGTCTGTGAGGACAGTTGACCTCTAAACATCTCAGCCCTGGCAGAAATCTGTCACATAAGTGACGTAAGACGGTTTGACAGTCTTCTGCTCGTGACGTCACACGTGGATGACCCGACCTTGGGCGATCAGAAGTGGTGCCAGTATGTTGTAGATGACCTCGCAAGTCATACACAGTACGATGGCTGCATCCCATTGCTCTTGCGACGTCAATAACTGATCTTCCCGCTTGCAACATGCCAACGGCACGTTCACGTTGCACATTTGACAATCGTGGCATTTCAAGTACCGTTGGAACTGTGGTTTAAAGGTGTTTTTCCCATTCTTGAGGCCAATGCAAACACGTGCATATGAAGAAAACTTCGATGCGAAGATCACGTGATCGACTGCACGTGCAGAACCTGATTTGGCACTAACGTCATTTGCTCGACGAATGGATGGGTTTGAGTGGGTTTTGCTAACGTTTTTCTAGAGTCGAAAGATAGGGATCCCATTTCGGATACATAGATGTTTCATCAGAGAAAAATTAT